TCACTTTCCCTGTCTGTCTCTCCAGCAAGCATATACACTATGGAAGTGGGGTGGGGGGGAGGGAAACAAAAAGAAAACAACCTGGAAGTAGCAGAGCTCTATCATATTTGATACATCAGCTAGCAGGTACATAAATATCATTAAAGCACAATTTTCACTTAGCTTACTATCTACTGCAAATTTAAGAATGCTTTCAGCACTGCTTACTCTCAGTCAAATCAGGAGATGTAGAAATTAAAAAGAAATAATCTAAAGTGCACAGATTACAAGGAACTCTAAATCATAGCAGTTCCATTTCTAATTAGGCACAGTCTTCAAAACAAAAACAGGATAGACATGGGGGTGGATCTTTCAAAAAGTTCCTAAAAATGTGTATTGTGAAAATATTTTACATGGATTTCAAAATTGCCCTGCACTAAAACAGATTTGTACTTTAATTTTCCAAACTTTAAAAAATGCCCTTGTGTAAATATTTTTAAAGGTTTTTTATCATAGGGCGCATGTGCCTGCCAGAGAGGAGAGACAGTGAGAGGGAAAGCAAGAAATCACTTCTTAGGAGGGATGGCCACACAGCAATACTTTCTCTTCCATTCTCCTCTCAGGGTTTTGGGGTCACACTCACGCAGCATGGTTTTCAAGCCACCAGATTCAGGACTCGAACCAGGGTTGGCCATGTTGGAGTCCAGCACCCTAACCACTTCACCACCTGCTGGCCCTCCAGATTTTTTCTCACATGTTTTATCCCTTTATATCCGTTACTATAGCTTAACAATATATTCACTTTGGAGTCTTGCAATTTTTGATATAAGAAATTCAAATATCATTATGTTTAGGGCCATCTGGTAGTACAGCAGTAATGCAAAACTTTGCAATGCTGGACTCACAGAAGACCCAGGGTTTCTGTGTTGAGGCCTCCCTGTACACACTGGGCACGTGCATATGCTCATGACCCAGACTAGTTTAGAATGAATAACCGAGTGAAGAGCTTGTTGGGGGTGTATCCCAACTTCTCCCTCTCATTCACAGAAGACATTAACTTCTAAAAACTATGTTTAAAGGGAAAAAAATGTGGTTTCACCAACCTGGTAAAAATACATACCTCCATATATATCATTTTTACATATATTTTACACACACACACACACAGATATACCAGCTGAATTTGTTAAATTTTTTTTTTTTTCTGGAAAAGATGAAGGATGTGAACCTTCAAGATTAACAGAATAATTTTAGCTAATTTAAGTATTAAATTTCCTAATAATGTTACCTGCAATATCATTTTAACCCTGGGAAGAATATAAAGTGTATCATTCAATAAAGGTTTAAATTCAGTTTCAGGATTCTGAATTTAGTACAGGAAGAGTCTATATAAACTGAATTTATTATTCTGGTAATTTAGCAAGAAGTATAATCCACAATGATTTTATTCACTGACTAATACTAGCAATATACTCACTTGTACCTTTTTATTCAGTTATAGGCTAATCCTAATAGGAGATCCGTGGTTTAGGGTTATCTAAAGTTTGATAAACAAATTTTTGAGGGTGAAAAAATATTCTATTGTGGTGGTAGTTACAAAACCTTCTACATTTGAGAAAACTCATAGAAGTGGGCACCAAAAATTGAACTTTGTTGTATGTAAATTAAACAGTAAATTTTTAAAATCTGTTCACCTGTTTGATGTTTTTTTCCATACACTTAAATCTCTTATCATTTGTATCTAAATTAAATAGTAAATTTTAAAAATCTGTTCCCCTGACTGTTTTGAAGTTTTTCCATACATTTAAAGGTCTCTTAATAGTTAAAGAGAAATTTAATTTTCATACTATCCCCCAAAATGCTGTAATTCTATGGGTTTGTTTTCTATAAGACAATGGCTTCTCCACTTAAAATAAAATCAGATCTTTTTATTTGTTTAAGAATTATTTTAACTTTATTTTAATTTGACCAGAGAAGGACAGAGTAGGAGTGAAAGTGAGAGTGTGAAAGAGAGAGGGTAAGTAAGAAAGCAAGCCACAAGGTCAGGGACTCAAACCTTAGTCGGCCATGTAGTAGTCCAGTGCCCTTAACCACCATGCCACCTGCTGGTCCCATACATCAGACACTTAAGAAAAAAAAAAGCAAATGGTGTGGGCTAGCCCATGGCTTAGTTGTTATGGAACCCACATGGCTAACAATGTGGCTTGAATCCCAGATCCAGAAGCTTGAGAAATGCACCAGGAATGGATGCATGTGTGCCCTAAATCCCAAAAAGATAAATGGAGAAGGGATTACAGTGTGACCAGGCCCTATAGGGGATGCTTTCTCCCTCTCCCTCTGTCTCTAATGAGTTTATATGACCTTTAGCAAATTAAATACAAAAACAAATGAAATAAAGTCAATTAATTAGCTAAAGATAGTGGAATGCAATTATGATTCCTAGATACACGTCATCTACTAGATACAGAGGTAGCTAAATGAATTCTCAGAGGCCTGAGAAAATTAGGGTAAAAGAAATTTGGAGGTTATTTTGTCTGAATTTACCTTCCTTATAAATGCATAATATTATAATAAGCCCTGTAAGAAAAAGCTTTTATAATGTCCAGGTGATCTAGAGAAACGTGAGCATCTCCTGCTCATCACACATTAAATAAAGGCTCAGTAGACTTAATGGGTAAGTTCGAAGGACGTAGCTTGGCTCCAGAACATAGGAACTAATATTCTAAAGTATTAGTAGAAATAAATATACTGCATTCAGAATACTTATTACCTCCTATCCATGCAGCTGCAATTTGCTCCAGGACATTTGAGAAGACAGTATGCGTATACATAAAAAGACCTTGCTTCTCTAGAGACCAAAGAGCAGGGTCAAGACTAAAATGCAGTAAGACAAAATAGAAGGGACCACCAAAATTAATACACGAAGACCCATGATTAATATAACATCAAAATTTTTAATAAAGACAGGATCCAATATTGGAGTTGCATTGCCCCAACAATGTATGCCTCACTTAATTCACCTTAAGCTTGGCCCACAGATTCTATTTTTATTTAAAACTGATACTCTGTTCATAATTTTACATTTTTTTAATACTATTTATCTTGATTACTGTTCATTTTTATTCTTCTATGTTTTAGGCTTTTGCTATAGGACATGTGTTCGTATTGGAGAGAGACAAAAGGTTAGAGGGAGGGAAAGTGAGAAATCACTCCCCAGCGGGGATGGTCACATCACAATCCCTTTTCCTCCATTCTCTTCTTGGGATTTTGGGCACATACACACATGTGCCTAGCATCATTTTCAGGATGCCAGGACTGAGACTCAGACTATGGAGACAACCATGTGGGATTTAGCACCTTAACCACCAGACCATCTGCTGGCCCTACTGTGAGTTTTTCTTTTGTTTTTGGGCATCTCATTAGATTTTGCATTTGGGAAAAGTGTGTCACTAGTCTTAGCCCTGGCAAAAGCCTTGGGAATAGTTACCAAAACTAAAGAGTTTTAAGTTGACAGTACTTAATGCCTATGAGGAGACTCACATTAAAGGCAATCATGACTAGTTACCTGATACATTATCAGTAACCTAAACAAGGAGAGAGGCCTGCCAGAGACACACGAATGACAAAATGAGAAACATCAGTTTTTTTCTTCTATGTAAGGTCTTGACAAGAATGAGAAAGAATATTTAAGAACCAGCCAGTCAGTCTTGTCAAGTATAACTATTTACATTACTTAACAAATAAATGAATTACATTAAAAAGTAAAATGAAGGCAGAATACATTTTTAGAAATATTTGGCATTAAGAGGGCCAGCAGATGGCGTGGTGGTTAAGGTGCTGGACTTCCATATGGCTGACTGCAGTTTGAGTCCTGTATGCAGTGGCTTGAAAATCATGCCAGGCATGTGTGTGTGCATACCCAAAACACCGAGGAGATGGAAAAGGGATTACAGTGTGGCTATACCCCCAGAGGGGTGATTTCTCACTTTTCCTCTCCTCTCTCAAGCAAGTACATGCACCCTATAAGAAAAAGAACTTAAAAAATAAATAAGTAAAAACTATAAAACAAAACAGGTAAGAACTATTTGGCATTCAAAGGGTAAGCTTTCATTGATTCCATATGAGGCATTATAATGTTCAATTCACCTGTCGCTTGCATATCCTAAGCTCAGACATCTGGAAGCAAACAGCTATTGTTCTCCCCTACAATTTGCATAAAGCAGTAAAACAGGGCATACATTAATTATTTCCAATGAAATTTCTTTTTTTTTTTTTTTTTTGGAGAAGTTTTTGCTATAGGGCGCATGCGCTCACCAGAAAGAGAGAGAGAGAGACAGAAAGAAATCGAGAAATCATCCCCCAGGGGCGATGGCCATGCCGCAATCCCTTCTCCTCTATTCTCTCAGGATCCTGGGCATGAGTTTAAGTCACCAGGTCCAGGACTCGAACCGCGGTCGACTACATGGGAGTCCAGAGACATAGCCATTATGCTAACTGCTGGTCCCTCCCATGAAATTTCTTAAGAGTTCTTTTTTAAGAGAGATTTTTGCTATAGGGCAGGTGTGCTCACT